CCCCTCCCCCCTGTACATCCATCCCCTCTGCCCAGCCCAGGGGAATGGCCCATCCCCCGCATGCCTGGGGGAACAGCCTGGCAGCCTGGCCTGGAGCAGGAGCTGGGTGGCAGCACAAGTTAATTATTATCAATCATGTTTATTGCGCTGGTGCCCACGGCTGTTGTGCAAGGTGCTGCAGACACAGTAGCCAGGCCCTGCCCTGAGGTTTCCAAGCAACATTGGCCGGACACAGGGTGGGGGAAGTGACCCACGCGACGGGGCACGTGCCCGTTCAGGGGGTGGCTTTACCTAGGAGGGGCAAGGCTGGAGCCCACAGCGGGTCGGCCCAGGCCAGAGTGTGCTCACAGCTCCAGCAGGTGCTTCGCTGGCCCCCTGGACACCTGTGAGGAGCAGCGGGCGCCGTCCGGGTTCTCTGCTGGGTGTCCCCCTCTGGCTCCTGCTTTTGGAGCTCTAACCCTGACCCTGTCATTCGTCAGTTGCCCCCAGGCCTTATTTCAACCCAGAGTCCTAGGCTGGGGGAGGGGCCTTCAGATGCAGCGCCTCCCCCCCCCGCGCCTCCTGGCCTTCGATGGGTGCAGCAAGTGCCCCTGCTCCAGGCTCTGGCTGGCTCCTCCCTGCAGCTTCCCCCCAGGCGAAGAGCAAGGCCCCCCCTTGGCCCTAGTGCCCAGAGTATGAGGGGTGGCATGTTACTGGGCCTGTTTGCCACGTGCTGGGGCCCTGCGGCGCCCTGTTCATTTCACTGCACCTGTGGGGGTGCAGGCCCCGTAACATGCCACCTCTCATACTCCGGGCACTAGGGGGGAGAGGTGCTGCGTTTCTCAGCGGGGCACCCTCAGGGCGCCGACGCACACGCCCGCTGCAGGGGCTGCCAGGCAGCTCCTCCGGTCCTGCTGTGGCTTCGGAGCCCGCTGCCCACTGGCCTGTGCGCCCAAACAGCTCCTGCAGCTGGCAGGGCTGCTCTGCTCGTGGGCGCGACGCCTGGCACTGGAGAGGGCCACAGGCAAATGTGCATTTGGGGAGCTGGCTGGAGCCCCCGTGCCGGAGCCACCACCCACCGCCAGTCCCCGACACCCCCTGGTGTGAGGGACGTCTGGCAGCTGACCCTACTGCAGGGCAGGTCTGTGAGTGCTGGGGGACGCGCTGGGCGTGTCACCAGGCTCTATGGGCTGCAGCTCTCGGCAAGGCCCCTAATGCCTGTCCCCCTTTCCTGGTGCTGCTGGGACAGCCTGTGCAATACAGCAGGGTCCCTCCGGCTGACCAGCCATAGGGGATGTAAACGGATCCCACAGCCCATGAGTCTGTTCTCTGCTGTGGGTGGAGCCGGCTGCCCTCCTGCTGGCTCAGATTACAGGGGTGGTAACAGGCATGAGCAGGCCCACAGCCCACAGCGCTCCCCCTAATTATGCCCAGCACACCTTAGCCTGGGGGCACCGGGAGCGGGTCAGCCACAGCCAGCATCTGCCCGCCCCATCCCCTGCAGGGGTAACACAGGGGCCGCCTGCTCACAGACGCAGCTCCCGGCTCTGCCCCCAGGAAGGGAGTCGGCTGGCGCCAAGCAGAGACCATCTGCCCGTCTCCTCGGGGGCAGGGAGAGTTCATCAGATTCCAGGCGTGGGCGGGCGCAGCTCCCTGGGAGCTCAGCCCTGGCTGGGTTTGGGCCTCTCTTTCCGCCCTGCCGATGCGGGAGATGGGCCCAGAGCTACGGTCTGAGCGCCTGCCCGGGGCACCCACCCCTGAACGCCCGCCCGGAGCGCCCACCCCTGAGCCCCAGTCTGAGCGCCCGCCCGGGGCACCCACCCCTGAGCACCCGCCCGGGGAGCCCGCCTGGGGCACCCACCCCTGAGCCCCGGTCTGAGCGCCCGCCCGGGGTGTCCACCCCTGAGCCCTAGTCTGAGTGCCCGAAGCGCCCACCCCTGAGCCCCGGTCTGAGCGGCCGCCCAGGGCACCCACCCCTGAACGCCCACCCGGAGCGCCCACCCCTGAGACCTGGTCTGAGCGCTCGCCCGGAGCGTCCACCCCTGAGTCCCAGTCTGAATGCCCGCCGGGGCACCCACCCCGAGCCCTGGTCTGAGCACTCGTCCGGGGCGCCCACCCCCGAGCCCTGGTCTGAGCGCTCGGCTTGTGGGGGGGAATGGAAAGAAGCACCACACGTTATGGCCACAAGAGGGGGCTACCGGAACGCAGCCGGCTGGGCCAAGGCCGATGGAGGCCCCACCTGGCTCATTCTGCCTTGCTCCGTCCCGCCTGGTGTCTGAGCACACCTGAGCCGGACGGGGAGCAAGCCACCAGCCCGCTGCGGCGGGGGCCAACCCAAGGCCTGGGCACCCTGTGAGAGCCCCTAAACCTCGGGCCGGAGTCTCTCCGGGCCTCGGGGCTTATGGGGGTTTGGGCGGCACATAGGCCTCATGCTGGCCCCTGGCCCAGGGGAGGCCCCACCCAGCCAGACTGCGGCCTTGCCTCCCGTGGAGGTTTGCCCTCACCTCTGGCCTCGGAGTAGCAGCACCAATGCAAGCCTCTAGCCCAGGCAGGCAAGGCTGCTGCAATTGCACTGGTGCGCCTGCGCCTGGCTTCAAGCTCCCGGTGCAAACAGCCGCTTTGCCTGTCTGCCCTGGGGCGGCTCGAAGCCAAGCTGTGCTTCTGTGCTGCTCCTTTCAGTGGGCTTGAGCAGCTGCCTGGCTGGGCGCTGTGGGGACATTTCCGTGTTGTGCTTTGATTCAGCGTCTCGGGGACGCCAGCTCAGTGTGCAGGTGAAACCACCACCACGAAACCACCACCCGGACTCTTAGTTGCATCTTGTGTTTCTTCTTCAAAGGAAGCGGGAAAAAGGCAGGGAAAACCCCGGCCCCCTGGCCTTTCTCCAGGGCGAGTGAGTCAACTTCAGGCTCTCTCTCACCTGTCACCTGAATTACCCAGTCTGGGTTAAACCAATCAAAGGAATCAAATCAGTGAAAAGGAAATCAATTCCCTCCGCCAGATCAGCCCTGCCTCCAGGGCCCGCAGAGCTGGGGCACGCTGCTGAGGGCTGGCTAGGATCTTTCTGATGGGCACAAGCTGTGGTTGAACCGACCAGTGACCGGGTTCCTCTGCGCCCGAGGCTGGCCCATAGCCCCAGAGGAAGGACTCAGAGGCATGGCTTCATTGGATGTCTCAGGGAAATATACACAAGAAGCAGCAAAGCTCAGTCCCACGTGGCTATTTCTCTCAACGACCGAGGTTCTAGCACAGGGGTGGGCAAACTACAGCCCGGGGGCTGCATCCAGCCCGTGAGACCTTTTAATCCGGCCCTTGAGCTCCCGCCGGGGAGCGGGGTCAGGGGCTTGCCCCGCTCCGCACGTGTTGTGGCTCCCAGAAGCAGTGGCATGTTGCCTCTCCGGCTCCTACGTGTAGGGGCAGCCAGGGGGCTCCACACGCTGCCCCTGCCCCAAGTGCTGGTTCTGCAGCTCCCATGGCTAAGGGAGGGACAGGCCGCTGCTTCGGGAGCTGCTTGAGATAAGCGCTGCCCAGAGCCTGCACCCCTGACCTCCTCCCATCCCCCTGCTCCAGCCCTGAACCCTCTCCTGCCAGCATGAGGCCTGGAGCACCCTCCTGCACCCCAAACCCCTCATCCCCAGCCCACCTCAGAGCCCACACACCCAGCTGGAGTCCTCACCTCCCCCGCACCCCAACCCCTTGCCCCAGCCCAGAGCCTCCTCCCACACCCTGAACTCCTCATTTCTGGCCCCACCCCAGAGCCCACACCCCCAGCCGGAGCCCTCACCTCCCCGCACCCCAACCCCAATTTCGTGAGCATTCATGGCCCGCCATACAATTTCCATACCCAGATGTGGCCCTCGGACCAAAAAGTTTACCCGCCCCTGCTCTAGCACCTGGTGACTGGCGTCACAGGAATGAGTCCAGCGAGAGGCGATTATCTGACCTGGTAACACCACAGGTCTCAGTGGGATACAGCCGGCCACTGGGGCAGGGGGGACAAGGTGGGCAGGGGAGAGCTCCTTTCTGCCTTTCATTCCTGGCCTGACCAGCACTGCCCTGTCCGAGGTGAGAGCCAGGGCCCCGTCATCACTACCTGGGCCAGGGGAAGTCACACAAGACGGGCCTGACCGTGCAGAGCTATGTAACTACAGCCTGCCCTGCCCCAGTCGGGACCCTGAACCTGACTCCTGACAGGCTTCCCAGTTCCTCGCCACCATCCATTACCCAGCTGCCTGCTCGCCTGGCATCGCTGTGCCCTCCGCGTGTGGCCTGGTGTAACACTCCATCACATGGGCCCTGCTGGGGCAGCACCTCTGTGTTCAACATGCGGGCGACGGCTGTGTTCTGTAGCGGGAGCTGAAATGCGGTACAGCTCCCATTCCCGGCCCAGGAATCCACTCATGGCCCAGATCTGCGGCAGTTCCCTTCCTCCGCTGCTCGTTCTGCTCTCCCCCCAGTGGAGTCACTTCATTCATTCGTAGAGCGTAAGGCCGAGGGGCGCACTAGGGCCATCCAGTCTGACCTGCACAGCAAGGCCGCGGATGAACAGAGGCCATCGAATGTCATGCAGCGAAGTGGATTCAGGGAAGTCTTACGACCAGGCCCCTCTTTGCCTGGCTTTCCTGCTGGCTCTCGAATGGGTGTCTGCTGCCTTCCCCAGCACCGTTACCAGCCTGCATTTGAGTTTGTTTAATCCCAGCCCCTTTGCTAAGCGATGGCCTTGGAAAGCTCCGTGTCCCAGAACTCAGCCAGTCACATCTGCTCCGGGTTGAAACTTGTCAGACAAATTCTTCACACACAGCCTGGGCGAGATTCTTCTTTCTCCCAGTTCACCTCGCGCTGCTCACGCGTGGACGTCCCCGCTGGGCAGGAAGACGCTTTGCTGGTGGCCACGTGTAGGTTGCACCCCTTTCTTTCAGACTGTTTGCTCTTCAGAGCAGGGGCTGTGCGCTCTCTGGGTCGGCGAGGGAGCACACGGGCACACCTGGGGGCTAACCCTGAATGACCAGGCATTTTACTAGGGGCTTGGGACAGAGCCAAGGGTGAGGGGCTATTTGCTGGGTGTGACGCTCTAGGGCGGAGGAATAGCTATCGCTCTCATGATGGCTTTATACTTGTCCCTTCATCAGGGCTGGCTCCAGGCACCAGCTTAACAAGCAGGTGCTTGGGGCGGCCAAGGGAGAGGGGCGGCACCTGCGGCAATTCGGGGGCGGCAGGTCCCTCACTCCCTCTAGGAGCAAAGGACCTGCCGCTGAACTGCCGCCACCGCCGATCGCGGCTTTTTTTTTTTTTTTGCTTGGGGCGGCAGAAATGCTGGAGCTGGCCCTGCCCTTCATTGACTTGGGCCGAGTTTCTCTGAATCTCCAGGCCAGTGTACGCGAGGCCCGAGTCAAACCCCCGGTGCATCAGCGCCTCACAACTTACGGGCTCACCTCCATGCTTTGCTCCAGGTCACTTTCGGTGCATCACATCCCTCTCGCCCAGCCGGCGGCTCTCTGTCTAGATCGCAGGGTCTCCGGAGCACCCAGCATGCTCTGGGCTCTGTAAGTAACTAGGCACCATGTCACTTTCAGACCTTTAGGGATTTTTCCTTCACTGAGTCTGCGGCTGCGCCTCTCCCCTCCATGGAGTCACCCGCATGTCTCTGGCTCTGTCCGGTGTGACGGAGGGGGATTTCCAAGGGTTTAGGCTCTTACTGATACTGGTTCTGAACAGAGTTGGTCTAAATCTTCAAATGAAACATTCTGTTGAAATTCCAAAGTTCAGTAAAGAAAGGGGGAATCTTGTACTGAAATGACCTCTCCTCCTTCCCATGTTCTGCCAGCTCTAATTATGAATGATCTAATTAGGGGCTGCCTGATAGGGAGTGCCACTCCCCCTGCAGTGAACGGGTTGTCCAGTGGGGCATGCCAGCCCCCCTGCGGTGCACAGGCTGCCCAAGGGGGGGTGCCGCCCCCCCTGCAGTGAACGGGCTGCCCAGTGGGGTGTGCCAGCCCCCCTGCAATGCACAGGCTGCCCAATGGGGAGTTCACACCTGGGCCGTACTGTTATTTGGCTGGAGACAGTTTTCAGCCGGGCTGGTTTGCCAGGCGGCTGCACATCTGGCCATGCCACAGCTGGGCTTTTGCCAAGGGAAAGGGTCAAACCGTCATGTCTGTGCAGCACACTGCAGGAGGCAGAAAAAACTCCTGAAATCCCAGGGGTGGGGATTTTCCTCCCTGCTGGGCTATTGGGGGAGGGACACGCCAGCACGGTGGGGCTGGGGCTGGGGCTGGTAGGACTTTGCTGCCTGCTTCAGTGACTCATGCTTAGTCTCTCTGAAGCCAGTTGTCCCAGCAGGGCCTAAGGAGCAGTTCCTGTCCACACTGGGCCCTTAGCAGGGAGAATCCCCCCCCACCCCCACACACACACACTGCAGTGACACACACACTGCAGTAAAAGCCCCGCTTTGGGGCTCAGGTTTCAGAGGTCTCCGTGTTAGTCTGTCTCAGCAATACAACGAGGAGGAGTCCTCGTGGCACCTTAGAGATGAACACGTTTATTTGGGCGTGAGCTTTCGTGGGCTAGAACCCAAATAAATGTGTTTGTGTCTGGTGCCACAAGGACTCCTCGCTGTTTGTAGTGATTGCTCAGTGGCCTGGCCACAGTATGTTTGCACTAGGATTTAACGTCTCTCTTGCAGGAATGCCTAGAGCCCCACCGGAGCAGGGCCCCCTTGTGTCCAGGGCTGAGCCCCACGCCTCTGGGGAACTTTCCCTTGGGGGGGGCCAACCACTGGGTGTGCTCGGAGGGATGCGGCCCAGCCATGGCTGAGCGACCAGCCACCAAAACCAAAGACAGGGCCAGACAGACCCTCGAGGGTGACTGAGCTATGCTCAGGGCTGCTACACGCTGGGGCTCAAGCGGGGGAGGGGCGGTGCTGAGGCCCATGTGCACCCAGGGGCGATTTGGCCCTAGAAGATTTTGCCCAGTGTCCCACCAGCAATAGGGGAGCCTCACGCACTTTCACCCACATCTCCCCCAGAGGCACCTTAGCGACTAACACATGTATTGGGCATAAGTTTTCGTGGGCTAGAACCCACTTCATCAGACGCATGGAGTGGAAAATACACTAAGCAGGTATAAATATACAGCACCTGAAAAGATGGGAGATGCCTTACCAAGTGGGGGGTCAGTGCTAAGGAGGCCAATTCAATTGGGGTGGAAGTGGCCCATTCCCAACAGTTGACAAGAAGGGGTGAATATCAACAGAGGGAAAATTACGTTTTGTAGTGCTAACGAGGCCAATCAATCAAAGTGGATGCTTCTCAAACCACACAAGGGCCTGCCAGAGGGGCACTAGGCGCGTGTACACACACACACACACACACACAATCTTATCCAAGCTAGTCATTGGCACTCGCTGCTGCCGCTGCCTGGGTCTGTCTTTTCGATTGGGTGTCTTTAGCAGGATGGTTTTAATCTGAAAGCAGAAGCCCCACGGGGCCCTTCTGTTCGCACTGTGAGATAGATGGTCCCTGTGCGAGTGCAAGGATGTAATTCACGGGCCACGAGGCTGCGCAGGTGCCAGCGTGCGAGCCCAGGAGCCCGTGAACGGCAGCAGAGCCCTGGCACTGGTGAGCCGGGCTCCTGTGCGCTCTGCCTCCTTGGATCGCCGTGTGTAATGAAATGCTGGCTGGTAAACAACAGCCTCACCAGTTAACATTGATTTACACCAACCCCTCCGGTATTTCATGCTCCTCCCAGGCTCCGTCCCCTGGGAGCAGTGGAGGGAATTGTAAAAGCTTGTTTCAAACGCAGAGATTGTTTAATGTAAGAATTATGCTGGAGCCAACAATTAGCCCCCTGGCTCTCGCGGCGGAAGTGTGTTGCTGGTGCCTGCAGAGACCTTGGGAAAGTGTCAGCGGGGGTTAGGATTGACTTCGCAGTCACTGCCCCTGAAGGGAACTGGAGCAGCTCAGGAATCAGGCCTCCCGGGATGCATGAGACCTACGTGCGCAGACAGGCAGGTGGGTCCGGAATGGGGTCGGTTCAGTCTCGGCTGTCGATCGTGACCGTCTGTGAGTGGCCGACGTGAAATGAGTTGGTGCGTTTCAGGCTGGATCCGGGGGGAGGCGTATCCACCTCAGAGCCCCCGGCTAGCACGAACTGACCCTGCGGGGCACGGGCTGATTCAGCCAGGAGACTGATCTCCCCTCTCACTCCTGCCTGGGCCAGGCCATCAGCAGGGCCGGGGGAGGGGAGCGGGCACCGACCCTGCCCACATCAGGGGCTAGTCACTGGGCTCCATTGTCCCAGGCTGTGCAGCCAGTGCCATCACCAGCACGGCATTCACTCGGACACTGGCAATTTGTGTCCTGAGCACCCCCGTGAGGCCCGTGACTGGGGCCTGCTGGTGACGTGACACTACTGGAAATGTTTCCCCGGCATTTGCTCCTCTTCGTAACAGGGCACAAGTGGCTGCAGGCCGCTCCCCGTAGGCCGGGGGCATTGCTGTTAGTATGACAACTCAGCTGGGGCGCGTATGCCCAGGGCCACTGCCCCGTCTCCCCTGCTCAGGGCTGGGATCGCTGCCTTGGAACTTCCCGTGAGAACAGAGTTATCCTGCTGGAAAAAATAATATAAGAATGGCCCTACTGGGTCAGACCAAAGGTCCATCTAGCCCAGTATCCTGTCCTCTGACAGCGGCCAATGCCAGGTGCCCCAAAGGGAACGAACAGAACAGCTTCTGGCACACAGAGGCTAGGGACACCATTCCTGCTCATCCTGGCTAATGGCCATTGATGGACCTATCCTCCATGAACTTATCTAGTTCTTTTTTGAACCCTGTTATGGTCTTGGCCTTCACAACGTCCTCAGGCAAGGAGTTCCACAAGTTGACTGCGCGTTGTGTGAAAAAATACTTCCTTTTATTTGTTTTAAACCTGCTGCCTATTAATTTCATTGGGTGACCCCTAGTTCTTGTGTTATGAGATGTAGTAAACAACACTTCCTTATCTACTTTCTCCACACCAGTCATGATTTTATAGACCTCTATCATATCTTCCCCATTAGCCGTCTCTTTTCCAAGCTGAAAAGTCCCAGTTTTATTAATCTCCACAGCCTCCCTCCCCCACCCCCGGGGCCCAACCCTCAGCTAGTGCCAATCATCATAGCGCCATCAAATCCAACAGAGTGATGCTGATTTACATCAGTTGAGGATCAGGCCCTCTGTGTTTAGTCCAGTTTTCTATCACCCGAGTTACTTTCCAAATCCCAGCGTGTAATCCCTGGGACGCTGCCGGTGGCTGCACCCCTCTGTCATACCGTGCATGGTCACGCTGGCACGTCCGCTGCCCAGAATCCACACTGCTCTTCATCAGACTCCTGTCTCTGGGCCTTCCTCCCTCTCGCCCGTGTTAGGCAACAGCTTCCCAGCCCCACTCTGCAGAGCTGCTGTCCTGGTCCCTCACTCCTCCTGCAGCGGGCCCAGATGTGGAGCTCACAAACAGCTGAAGACGCATTTCCACCCAACGCACACACTTTCAGCCTGAAAACACTTGTAGTTTGGATTTCAGGAGAAGGAAGAAGAAAGTGAAATCTCCCTGGGAGAGCACAGTGTGTGTGTCTCCTGCAAGGACCAACTCTACGACCACAGCAGCTGCTGAGCACTGCCTGCCTGCAAACACACATCCCACCCCATACTGAGAGAACCAGGCCATACACAGAAAGCAAAAGGTGTAACAGTTGCAGAGTCCCCCCCCCCCCGTAATAAGCAAACAGGGATAATTAATAATAAATAACTATTAATAATCAAAGCAGTTCCTTCAGCTTCAGACACACTCTCGGCCTGGGCAGGACTTTACCTGCGATTGTTACAAATACCCAAACAGGGTTGTAAAGCTGCACTTCCCAAACTTCTGCCAGCAGAGCCCCACTCCAGGGGCCTCTCCCTCCCCACCCCGCTGGTACAGG